ACCTAGTATATTCATTTTATTGATAATTAGTCCTTTGTGTGACACTAGCAATAGGAGGGTTCCAGTTTCTCCCCATTCTTGCCAATACTTGTTGTTGTCTATCGTTTTACCCATCCTGGTTGGTGTGATTGGTATTTCATTGTGGTTTTGATTTATGTTTCTTTAATGACTAATGATGTTTATATTTCTCTAATGACTAATAATTGCATGTGCTTATTAGCCATTTGTATATCTCTTTGGACATATATTTGAATGTCTATTTAATTCCGTTATTTTTAAATTGGGTTATTTATCTTTTTATTGCTGAGTGTAAGAGTACCATATGCTTTTCTTTATTTTTTTTAAAGTATTGCTATATTTGTTTGAAAGACTAATTTTTCCTCCTCTTATTGAAAGGTCCTGTCCAAAATGCACTGATGTCTTCACAAGTGTCAGTGAGCCAAGGATATAATTTCCAGCTTCCAGGATCCTACCCTCATCTAATACCAGCAAAGACTTTGAATCCAGCCTCTGGACAGTCTAACTATGGTGGTTCTCAGGGATCTGGGCAGACTCTTAATAGACCACCTGTGGCCTCTAATCCAGTAACACCTTTGCTCCATAGCGGTCCTGTTCCTCAAATGCCACTACCTGCTTCTCAGAACCCAGCTGCTACACCAATGCCTTCTGGTAGCTTTCTTCCTGGAGCCAACCCACCACCACCTTCGAATTGGCAATATAACTATCCATCCACAGGATCACAGACAAACCATTTTCCTCGTGCATCATCCCAACCACCTGTATCTGGGAATACAAGTTTTACAACCAATCATCCATATGTTTCTTCTGGAGATCCTTCACTTCAAAATAGCTTCTTAAAGTCAGGTAGTATTTTTATAGGAGTGTATAAAATGTAGAAATGTGAAACTTTTGCTTGTTTAGATGTTTGAATTAATACTTAAAGCCTTAAAAACATGGAAAGTTACTGGCTTTTAAAATCATTATTAGTCTTTATAGAAATTACTTTTCTAATCTCTGAATTAATTCAAATAACTTAAATTTATGAATTGGTCCTGCCTTGCTTCTTTCCTTTGAAGATGTCTTCTGTTTTTCTTTGAGTTACCATGATATTTCAGGGATTCAGGTATGTATGCAGAACCACTTCCTTAGGAACTGGCCATTGCTTTAATGAACTGGGTTCCATCACACAGCTAGAGAAGGTGAATAAATGCCTGTGGTCTCTCTTTGGTCATTTGAGGTTTGAGTTACCTTTTTGGCATGGCTGTTTGGGGACCATAAGCTGTGTAGGATCTTGGAGGAGCAGGTCAAAACATGATGCTTTTGGAGTGAGGAGCATTATTGAGTACAGCATTACTGAGTGGTCAGTTGTACTCAATAACTCCATGCAGTGGACAGAGATTTTTTTTCTCTTTTTTAGACAGAGTCTTGCTCGGTTGCCCAGACTGGAGTGCAGTAGCACAATCACGGCTCACTGCAACCTCCAGCTCCTGGCTTTAAGCAATCCTCCCTGCTCAGCCTCCCAAAGTGCTAGGATTACAGGCTTGAGTCACCACGCTTGGCCCTGAACAGAGATTTATATGGATGCTTTCTTCCAAGAGTTTTATAATTTTAGCTCTTACATTTAGGTCTTTGATAAGTTTTGGGTTAATTTTTGTATATGGTATTAGGTAGGGTCCAACTTCTTTCTTTCGCATGTGGCTATACATACAGTTGTCCCAGTACTATTTGATGAAAAGACTAGTCTTTCTCCCATTGAATTGTCTTGGCACCCTTGTTGAAAATCTGTTGATCATAAATTTAGGGTTTACTTCTAGACTCTGAATTTTATTTCATTGATCTATATGTCTATTTTTATGTCAGTACCAAACATCTTGATTACTGTAGCTTTGTATTAATCTTTGAATTGGGGAAGTGTGGCTCCTCTAACTTTTTTGTTCTCAAGATTGTTTTGGCTCTTCTGGTTCTCTTGCAGTTCCATATGATTTTTAAGATCAGCTTGTCAAGTTTTGCAAAAAAAAAGATAGCTGGGGTTTTGTTAGGAATTATGTTGAATCTATACAT